CTTTTCTGTCTCTCTACTTGGAATTGAATCCAGGGGCTCTCTACCACTGAGCTGCATACCTAGCCCTATTAATTTTTTTGTTTTGTTTTGTTTTGAGATAGGATCTGGCTAAGTTGCCCAAGCTGGCCTGGAACTTGTGAGCCTCCTGTCTGCCTTAGTTTTCCATGTAGCTGGGATTATAGCATTCACTATTGGGTCCAGGTGCATTTTTCTATTTTGTTTTATTGCTCTGTTTATCAATCACTATTGTGGGGTTGAATTTAATTCCCATTATTATGACTAAGCATTGATTTATGCTTGTTAGTAAATTTATACAATGTAATAAATTTGGAATTTATATTTTGGAAATATCAGCTTTAATTTATATGAATTTTTTAATATTTATTTTTTAGTTTTCAGTGGACACAACATCTTTATTTTATTTTGTTTTATTTTTTATGTGGTGCTGAGGATCGAACCCAGCGCCCCCTCGTATGCCAGGCAAGCGCGTTAACAGTTGAGCCACATCCCTGGCCCTAATATATATGTTATGAAACTGTATTAGACATAGATTTTCTTAAGCTTGCTAATTATGTGCCTCAGTAAAGAATAATTCACATTTTTGTTATCATTACTTTAGTTATGATGGTAACATTCTATGTTCCATGTATATTAAAAATTTAAATTTGAATAGGATATGGAATGTTGGAGTTTAAAATATATTTACTTTTTTCTTTTTTAATTTATTTATTCTAATTTGTTATTTATGACAGCAAATGCATTTCATTTTATAGTACACATATAGAGCACAATTTTTCCTGTCTCTGGTTTTGCACAAAGTAGAGTCATACCATTCATGTCTTTATATATGAACTTGGGGGTAATGATGTCCATTTCATTCCACTGTCTTTCCTTCTTCCTTGTATTTACTTTTTTTAAAAAAAAATATACATATTTTTAGTTGTAGTTGTCAATACACATGCTAGGCGAGCGCTCTACTGCTGAGACACAACCCTAGCCCCCTTTACTTTTTAATCAAAGTTATAGATGGATGTGGTTTTAAAAGCTGTCAAACAATATGATGAACTTATAATAAATTGCAGGCCTGGGGTTGTGGCTCAGAGATGCTTGCCTAGCATGCATGGGGCACTGGATTCCATCCTCAGCACCACATAAAAAAAATAAATTAAGGAACTATGTCAACCTACAACTGAAAAATAAATATTAAAAAAACAATTGCAATACCACCTTCCCCATTATCTAGTCCTTTTCCCCAAAGGTGGCCACTTTCAAATCTATTAGCTGATGCTGTTATTCTATATCTCCTTATAACTAATGTACTTTCACAGTTGTTTTTTAAAAATTTAGTAATTTACATATTTTCTATTGACTCCCTACCTGTTATGGAAGATGAAAATTTAAAGCTCTTAAATTGTCACTCTCTCTTCTTTATTCTGGAATCTTCTCAATATGTACATTACAATTTTGGGTTAAATCTTTAATATTTAGATGATAGTATTTTACACACACACACACACGCACGCACGCACGCACGCACGCACGCACGCAGAGGACTGAACCTAGGAGACTTTTACCACTGAACTACATCCCTAGTCCTTTTTGTTTTTTATGACATTTGTTGAACTTTATTTATTTATTCTTGGTGGGACTGGGCTGGGGATTGAACCCAGGGCCTTACATAGGCTAGACAGTTTTTCTACCACCGGGCTACATCCCCAGCTCTGAATGTGTCTGATACCTCTATTTTTTTTTTTTTTTTCAGTATGGGGATCAAACCCAGTGCCTCATACATGTGAGGCAAGTGCTCTGCCTCTGAGCCACATGAACAGTTTTTATTTTCCCCAAAGCATGTAGTCTTTAAAAAATCATTTAATTGTGTTTTGTTTGTGATTTTTTTCAATACTGCTGTGCTCTCAGACATCTTGTAACAATCCACATAATAAAGTCAGACACATCAAGTGATCTTCAGTCCTACTTTTTATTTACCTGGAGATCCTGGGGCTGTTTTGACTCTTGCCTGACCTGCTGTACTGCTCTTGTCCTGTGACTTCTCTTCACCACCGGTTCAGGTTGAATCCCTGTTTCTTGAATTCCATGTCTTTCCTTGTCTTGCCTTATTTCCTCATATATCTTCCTGGGAATGGGTCACTGGACTGTGTTTTGATTATTGACATGTCAAAAAAGTCTTTATTCTACTTGCATACTGAATTGGTTGGTAGCTTGGCTAGTTGTAGAATTCTAATAAATTATTTCCTTTTAATATTTTAAAGGCATTGCTTTCCTGTCATCTAGCTTCAAGTATTGCTGCTGAGATGTTGAAAAACCATTCTTTTCTTTTTGAAAGTTAATAATATGAGCCAGGTGCAGTGGTTCAGGCCTGTAAGCCCAGCAGCTTGGGAGACTGAGGCAGGAGGGTTGTTGAGTTCAAAGCCAGCCTCAGCAACTTACCAAGGCACTGAGAAACTTAGCAAGACCCCGTCTCAAAATGAAAAATAAAAAGGGCTGGGGATGTGGCTCAGTGGTTAAGCACCCCAGGGTTCAATATCTACTATCAGAAAAAAATTAATATGAAACAAATGGTAATAGAGAATAATATAACAAAAACTTACCTACATACTGTTTCTTTCACCAAATGTAAATGTTTGCTCTTTGTACTTAATCTCTTTTTCCTTCTGTCCCCTCCATCCCCTTGCAGTTATTAATTCCAGGGCCTTCCAAATACTAGTCAAGGGCTCCACTCTAAGCTTTATCCCCAGCCCCCTTTTTCCTTTAAGAAACTACTTATGGATATAGTTGAAGCCCCCTCACCTTTCTGATAGCATTAGAAATTGGTGTTTGTTTTTCCTGTGTGCTTTGATACTTGGTATTAGATAGGAATATATTCACACTATTGTTTGCATGTTTTAAAGTCTTACAAATGAAACTACAGCATGTACATTATTCTGTAATTTTTTTTTCATTTTTACACATTTTTTAAGATGTATTCATATTGATCACTCTAGCTCTGATTCACTCATTTTTCAGAAGATTTAAAAATATATTTTTTGGTTGTTGATGTACCTTTATTTTTTTATTTATTTTTATGAGGTGCTGAGGATCAAACTCGGTGCCTCACACATGGTAGGCAAGTGCTCTGGCACTGAGCTACAACACTAGCCCTCTGATTCATTCATTTTTACTAATGTATTGTATCCCATTGTAAGACTTTAATTTTAATTTAAAGTAGCTTAAAATATGTAAAGTGATTTTGAATGGGGTATAAAAGGCCGGTGTTGTGTTTTATTAGTGCTTGCCTAGCATGCCTGAAGCACTGAGTTCCATACCCAGCACCACATAAATAAATAAACAAACAAAATAAAAGTTAATAGTAAAAAGGCAAGGAACTCATGCGTTTTATAATAGTTCTTTTTTTGGGGGGGTACTGGGGATTGAACACAGGGTACTTAGCCTCTGCACCGCATTCCCAGCCCTATTTTTGTATTTTATTTAGAGACAGGGTCTCACTGAATTGCTGAGCACTTTGCTTTTGCTGAGGTTGGCTTTGAACTCAGGATCCTCCTGCCTCAGCCTCTCAAGTTGCTGGGATTATAGGAATGCACCGCTGCACCTGGCTGTAATAGTTCTTTATAGAATTTTCTAGTTTGGCTTAACAATACCTATTGTAAGAAGTTAAACCTTATAATTAGCTGGCTTGATATGGAGGCTGAATTGACTGGGGAGGATGAAAACAGGGACTGTGGGTTCAGAGGCCGGTGCCAAGGAGCCAGATTGGTATTTCTTATATGTTTCTAAGACCCATCTGCCCATGTGCATTGGGGGAGCCTCATGCCCTCATATAAGCAGCTAGTTCAGATCTGTAGAGAATACAAGAAGACGTCCTTCCAAATTCTGCCCTTGGTTTCCTTGCCTTCATGGAATGAGGAGGGGCATGAGTAAGAAAGTCAGTTACTAATAAAAATTCTCACCTGAATGGAACTTTTTCTGTCACTGAGTCCACATAGTTTTCTTTCATTTTGAAAATAGTGTAATTATTGTTAATCTCACCACCATCTTATTATTCAGTGACACTTATTCTGAAAATTGTGATAAAGCTTGTTCTAGAACTATGTTGAGTGTGATTTGAGGAAGACAGTAATTCATATTTGAACTCAACTATTAGTTTTTTCCTTAATGACCAGGCACAACAAATACTGTAGAGCCTTGTGTATAATTATTCAGTCACTTATTCTTTTCAACATATTGTTTAGGGAATGCCTATTACATGTTTGTCTAGTTAATGGGGATAGAAAGATGAATTAAGAGCTATCATCAAAAAAAAAAATTCAAGGTTTAGTGAAGGAGTATGTCAACAAATACTGTATGTATACTTAGCAGAATGAGAATTATATGTAATTCCTTTAGAATTGTGAGTTCTTTCAGGAGAAGCAGGTAATTCAGGTCAGCCTCCACAATATGTGTCAGTAGAACATGGTAATTACTTGAACTACTTTCTCCTCCTTGCACATTCATGCCTTGCAGTCTCTATAATTGCCTCTACCTCCCAGCCCCCTTTTTTGAGACAGGGTCGCTCTATGTTGCCCAGACTGGCCTAAAACTTGAGATCTTCCTGCTTGATTCCTGAGCAGTTGGCATTACAGGTGTGCACCACCAGTGGCTAGTCTCTGTATTTCTTTACCACCATTGTCTCAATTGTAAATAAGCCTCATTTTCGGAATGTTTGTTAATAAGTTACCATAGATATAAATTTGCTTTGAGACATTTTCTTGAGCAGAGGTAGTCCCATCCTAATATCTGAGGTGCAAGTAAAGATTTGGATTCTTATGTTTGTGTTGGCTGTCTTTCCCCTTGTAACTTTGTATCTGATGTCTAATATACTTACAAATAAGGAGAGATGTAATTCCCTTTAGTAAGTTTATAGTTTTTTTATATGTAAGTTAAAGGTGGAAAAAGTTATGATGACTATTTTGAACAAGTTTGAATTTTTTCTCCATTTTTTCTAGGTTGTACTGTGGAAATGCAGGTGTAAATTATCTTACCACTTTAGAAGATGGGATCAAACAGCAGCAGGATTAGTGATCTTCCTAAAAATGAGTACTTAAAAAAGTTATCAGGCACAGAATCTGTCTCTGAGAATGACCCATTCTGGAATCAGCTTCTCTCCTTTTCTTTCCCTGCACCAACTAGCAGGTAAGAGATTGCCTGGAAATTGAAAAATTCATATAGAAGGCTACACTAACCTGTGTGATATGCTACTTTTTGAAAGTATGTTTTAGTGTTTGTTTGATCTGTGTCTGTGTCTCTCTCTGTCATATATATACTAATAGAAAATCCAAAAGGTATGAACAGTAGGAAATACGTTTTTCTCTCCTTTTTTACTTCACCACCTCCTTTCTCCAGAAATGATTGCTACTAGTAGTTTCTTTTAGAGTTAGTACAAGGTTATTTTTTAAAAATATTTATTTTTATGGTGCTGAGGATCAAACCCAGCGCCTCGTACATGCTAAGCAAGCGATCTACCACTGAGCCACAACCCCAGCCCCAGAACAAGGTTATTTAAGCATATATCCCATGTTGTTTAAATACAAAGGATAGCATAATATACATGCTATTCTTATTCTGTTCCTTGCCTTTCTCCAAAAGTTAAGTAAAATATGTATTTTATATGTAAGAAAACACAAAACTGCCATTTTCTTTTGTAGTTATAGATGGACATCATGCCATTTTTTATTTTTATGAGGTGCTGAGGATTGAACCCAGTGCCTCACACATGCTAGGCAAGTGCTCTGCCACTGAGCTGCACCTTTTTCTTTTTAATGGCTACAAATTAACTGGAGAATATATTCAATCAATTTTCCATTTGATAACATTTAGACTGTTTCCAGTCTTTTGTTTTAATAGATGATGTTGAATATATCATTTCTCATTCATAGGAATCTGTCTTTAGAATAAATTCCTTGAAGTAAAATTGTGGAGTCAAAGTGTATGTATGCTTCTATAATTTTTTTATTCTTCATCCTGGGAATTGAATCCAGGAGCACTTTACCACTGAGCTACCTCCCTAGTCCTTTTTTATTTTTTATTTTGAGACAGGATCTCACTAAGTTGCTGAGGATCTCATTAAGTTGCCCATGCTGGCCTTCAACTTTTTGTCTCAGCCTCTCAAGTCATTGGGATTATTACAGGTGTGTGTCCTGTGGCTGCTTTCTAATTTTGGGAGTTATGCCACACTGTGCTTCTTGGAAGTTTTACCAGTTTATGCTTCTATGAGCAATGTAAAAAAGAGCCTGTTTCTCCACATCTTTGTCAATTTAATGCAATTTTTACATTGGATCAATGAAAATTTGGTAGATGAAAAACAGTAGTTAACTTTAACCCTTTATTATAAAAATTGATATGTAATGTAGGGTAACTAGAATATTGCATTTCCATATATTCAATAAGTAGATTTTTTTTTTTTTTTTTTGGCAGTGCTTGGGATTGAACCTAGGGCCTTGTGCATGTGAGGCAAGCATTCTACCAGCTGAACTATATCCCCAGCCTCTCAATAAGTACATTTAAATTTTTATATATATATATATTTAATAGCCTTCTGGTAAGGGGCTGAATAGTTCCCTGCCCCCAGATATCCATGTCCTAGTTCCCATGATCTGTGATGTTATGTTAATGTGGCAAAGAGGAATTAGGGTAACAAATGGAATTGCTAATCAGATGATCTTAATTAGGGAGATTATTTGGATTATCCAGGTGAGTCTAGTGTGATCACAAGGATTCTTGAAAGTGAAAGAGGGAGCAGGGGAATAAGAACAAGTCAGAGTCATGTGATGTGACTAGAGGAGGACTTAGCCTGTCCTGGTTGGTTTTGAAGTTAGAGGAATAGGGTCATGAGCCTAGAAAGGTGAGCAGCCTCAAGGAGCTAAAGGGCTCAAGAAAAATGATTTTGTCTTAGAGCCTGACATCCTAATCTTAGCTCACTGAGACTTGTTTTGAATTTATGAGCTGTAAGATAATAAATTTGCATATTTTACACCACTTTATTTGTGGCAACTTTTATAGCAGCAATAGAAAACTAAAACTTTTTTGAGATGTGATCCACCCATTATTTCAAGTGTGTAATTCATTGTTTTTAACATAGTCACAGAGTTGCACAAGTATCTCCATGAGCAATTCAGCAAGACCCTGTCTCAAAATTAAAAAAAAAAAAAAGGCTCTGGGGATGTGGCTCAGTGGATAAGCAACCTGGGTTCAATCCTTAGTAACTAAAACAAGAGAACCAAACCTTGAGATTGAATAGGCTTTGAGGTAGCAGGTGCCCCCTTGACAGTTAGGGGCTAGGATTACCTTGTTATGAATTATTCAGGGTTAAAATGAGTCTCTGCAGGCCAAGACTATGAATCCAATATTTCTGAGATTTGGTTACTCTTCGAATTCCTTGTATCCATATATGCTATCTTCAAGTACAGCCTGTTTTTGCACCCACAAATTAATATCTGTCAAGTTTTAGAAACACTGATAAGGCCTTCAGGACTAATCTAATTGTTCTTTACTAATAACCATTTTTAGCATCAGAATAAACTGATTTTGTTAAAACTTCCAGGCCTGGTTGCAAATTCCTACTTAGATTCCTTAATAGTTTAAAATTTTTCACATTACTAATATTACTTGTGAAGCAAAGTCCTGAAATCAAGAATAATTCAAGGGGCTGGGGATGTGGCTCAAGCGGTAGTGCGCTCGCCTGGCATGCCTGCAGCCTGGGTTCGATCCTCAGCACCACATACAAACAAAGATGTTGTGTCCACCAATAACTAAAAAGAAATAAATATTTAAAAAAAAGAATAATTCAAGTAAAGTTTATATAATATGCTAATTATTTTTCTTAATAAAATATTTTTAAGCTATTTACATGACTGATTTTTATGTTTCTTAATTCTATAATAGTAGCGACAATGCAAAACAAATCTGTGCTTATTGTTTGTTCGGTTTGTAGGCATCTGAATATTCCCATGTGAAGGTATGGTTTGTGTGAATGCACTCATGGGTGTCCTGCTTGTCATTGAAAACTGAAGGACCCAGGTGCTCTTTCGATGTGTATTGATCCATCTGTTATTTGTTTTTTTTTTTTTTTTTTTTTTTTAGAGAGAGAATTTTTAATATTTATTTTTTAGTTCTTGGCGGACACAACATCTTTGTTGGTATGTGATGCTGAGGATCGAACCCGGGTCATAGGCATGCCAGGCGAGCGCACTACCGCTTGAGCCACATCCCTGGCCCAATTTTGTTTGTTTTTCAAGCTATAATGTTGAGCTAAATAGAAGACACTTGTTCTCAAAGGGCTTATAATCTTAATTGTAAGTCAACAGTTGGCTGTGGTGAGATATGATTAGGGCCGTTATGGAAGTACAGGGAAGCATGCACATGGCAGGAGTATCTCCTCACCCAAGCTGGAATGAGCAGGTTGGGTCACAACTTTCCTGGAAGAAGTGGTACACATTTATTTATTCCACTTATGTTTTCAAAGGTAATTTATTCCCATAGTTTGAGTCTCAGAACATACCAAAGGGTATTTAATGAAAAATCTCCTTCCTGTCCCTATCCCTCAGCTACCTCAGTATTCCTTTCTGAAGGCAGCCGAAGATGACCTGAGTCAGAGGAATGGGGGCTGGGAGCAGAAGACTGATCCAGATAGAGGAAACAGCATGAAGGAGGGAAGCCTAGTGGAAGAACATGCCATGTTTTCACAAGTGAAGAGGAGTAGTGAGGGGAGATGGTTTGGAAGATTTGAGGGTTCTTATAAAGAATACCAAGGCATTTCAACTTTGTTTTAATTTTGGTGTATACCATTGAAGGATTTTTATCAGAAAGACAGGATCAAGTTTTTCTTTGATTTGATAGTTTCACCTTGTGGTAGCCACTCTATCTTTCAGCAGGAATTATTGCTTTTTTTTTTTTTTTTAATGGTACTGGTGATTGAACCCAGAGGTTCTCCTGCATGCCAGGCAAGTGCCTGGCTAAGTCCCAACTCTTTTTAAAAAATCTGTCTTAATTCAGAGTCTCATTAAGTTGCACAGGCTGGCCTTCAACTTTCAATCTTACTGTCTCAGCCTCCTGAGTAGTTGGGATTATAGGCATGTGCGTAGTTAGAAGTTATTACTTCTTGACTACAAAGTTTTTGTTTCTTTAAAAAACAGTTGACACGTGAGATCAGATATACATGTTCTAAAGTACAGAGTTAGTTGGTATGTGGTCCTTGGTGAGATGGTCATGATTACAGGATTCTAAAAGGTATTTTGGAGGCATTGGGATGTGCATAAAACCCTGAAGGGGTGGATGATTTAGAGACAGCCAGCAAGAGCAAGAGAGTTCAGACGCATTTGAAAAGTATGTGGCCAAAGTCATTGAGGCAGGACATAGCTCAGTCTGCAGGTATGGCTCAGTGGGATACTGGCCTGCAAAGGAAAATGTTGGTCACAGGGCTTGCTTTGAGTGCTAGAGTCCTCCCAGCTTTGGCAGTGGTGTGAGAGATGAGGAGCTGTAGATGGAATTTTAAAATTAGAATTTTATTTATTTTTGCTTGAAAAAGATTCTGCCCCCACCCCTTTTGTGGTTCAAAACCCAGAGGATACTGAGGTTATTCTTTATCCCCCTGCATGCCTGATTTTCTTCCCCAAAGGCAGTCAATGTTATCAGTTTGCTTGAATGTAAAGATATTTTATGCATATGCATGCAAATATGCACATATTTATTTTTAGGCAAAAATAGCATGTATATTATACATGCTTCTTCACTTTGTGTTTTTTTTTGTATTGAATATATCTTAGAGAATCTTGTGTATGTTTGCTGTTTGCTTCCTCATTTTTCTTGATGGAGGTATAGTACATAATTGCTGAGTATACCAAAATTAATTTAACTTTTTTTTTTGGTACTGGGGATTGAACCTAGCAGTGCTTAACCACTGAGCCATATCCCCAGCCCTTTTTTATATTTTATTTAATATTTATTTATTTTTAGTTTTCGGCAGATACAACATCTTTGTTTGTGTGTGGTGCTGAGGATCGAACCTGGGCCGCACGCATGCCAAGAGAGCGCGCTACCTCTTGAGCCACATCCCCAGCCCATTTATATTTTATTTAAAGACAGAGTCTTGCTGGGTTGCTTCGGGCCTCACTAAGTTGCTGAGGCTGAATTTGAAC